CCCAGTCCCTGCTCTTGCCTTCTGTAACTCTTTCAGAGGCCATACAGTAAGATTGTGTTTCTCCTTTTTCATATTTATGGGTTTTATAACAGATTAAAAACGTCTCTTTCATCTTCACATAGCTATCATTTTTGTTTTATTTTTCTAAGGTTAACATTAAGGATAAAGTACTTGAATTACTGATGTATTTTACGAAGCATTCAGATGAAGAAGTACAGACAAAAGCCATTATTGGCCTTGGTAAGAAATATTAAGATTTTATTGTTCTGCTATATTAAAAATCCATGCATTTCAGTAGAAATTAGGTTTTTTGTGTAGTGGCAGGGTAGTTTATTTAAAATCAAAATTCTGTGCATGCTTTATTTGAGAACTGGCTATAGAAATGTAGTTAAAATAATTGTTTCAAGTCTCATACTTTTTCAGCAGAGTGGATTCTTTTGTCTTAAAAAGTCTTAAAAATCATCAGCTTTCCAAAAGTAATAGGGCTGTTATTTTTCTCACATGCAAGTATGTTGTAACTCCAAATCTTGTTTTTCAGTCCAGCATTTATGGTTAGAGAATAACTAGAAAAAATGCTGGGAAGAAATATAATTTGAAGTGTATGGGGAGATATTCCACAGGATGCAAGGGAAGTCAGGCAGTTTATACCATCTGGGGGATGATCCATCAGTATACACCTGTATAGAGTGCACAATTATACTACATATTCTGAAGAGGAGCATCATTCCTTTTTCTTTCACCTCTTTCCCCTCCATCTCTCCTTCCTTCTCTCCTCTTCCTGTTTTGAGACTGAAGTGAGATCTTAAACACACTGAGGTCTTGCCCTAGACTTGGACTTTAGCTACACTGTCTTTTCTGTGTGCACAGAGCCAGTTTTAAAAACCTTACTCAGTCTTCCTTTTGTTACAGCCACTTCTATGCATTGGGTTTGCATAATTTATTCACTTTCATTTTTTCCCCCATTCTTCTTTTATGTTTATGTTTTCTGTGTGTTCATTCAGAATTTTAGTTTCCTGTGGTTGTGATAAATACACTTATTGTCTGCTTTTATCACAGTCTTAAAAAAAATGAATCAAGTAGTTAAACATAGTTAAAATCGTGAAGTTTTGTTCCCATTGCCTTTTTTTATTTTTTATGATACTGTGTAAGAGTTTGTTGGCAGCACTTCTAAATCTACATACATGATCTAAAATTATATATACTGTCACTAATTTAGATTAAAGCTTTTATGAAATAAAGACTACCCTGACTAAGAATAACCAGTTCTTGGTCAAGGGTAAGGCTGCAGCTAAAAGCAGTTCTACAGTGTGTATCTTCCAACAGATGTAGTCTTGGGAATGCTTTAGATAGTTTTCAAGAGAAGACCTTAATGGGTATATGAATAATGATAGTGAGAGGTATAAATTTTATTTTACTGTGTTCGCTATGGTGTGGGGTTTTTAAGATTTTATTTTTTACATACTCATGATATTTATAAATTTTTTCCACATTTGCTCTGCCTCCATATGAATAATTCTTCACAGTTTCAGCAGAATGTTTTTCTCCAAATATATTAAAAGAACAATGGGTAATGTTTAGCAATGTTCTTCCCTTGCTCTTGCAAGACCTCTTAGTCATTCAGATGCAGGCCAGTACACTGGACATGCTTCCAGACCTGTATAACTCTTCTTAGTGCAACTGCCATGGGTTGGTACTCCATCTTTATCTGTCAGACAGAGTCATGGCTAATAGAACTGTCATGGCTAATAGAACTCCTTATAAGCTTAGAATGGTGACCATATGAAAAAGTAATACTGTTTCTACTAGAAAAAGTTATGCTGTTGGGAGGAGATAAATTTCATATCTCTATTTTGAAGAAAGACTTAAAAAGCAGAAATACAATTTCTAGATAATAACGTGGAATATTTCCTCTTTTCTTCGACCCTTAGGATTTGCATTTATACAACACCCAAGTTTAATGTTTGAACAGGAAGTGAAGACTCTGTACAACAGCATCCTTTCAGATAAGAACTGTTCAGTAAACCTAAAAATCCAGGTGTTAAAGAACCTGCAGACCTACTTGCAGGAGGAAGATACGCGTATGCAGCAGGCAGACAGAGACTGTAAGTGTTGAGTTCTATGCTAATGAGGCATGCAGAACCTAACTTTCTGGCATACAATTACTATATACGTGAACTGAATCGCTTAAGATTGTTATCAGATCAATAATATTGTACACAAAGTATCTTAGAATAATTTTAAAAAAATAATTATGTACATACATATATTTTAAAGTGTAGCTTATTATTTACTGTCAAGATGTATAAATCCTGAAAGCAATCCAGAATGCATAATTACTGTAATGATGGTAGTAATACTTTTAATCAAAATCTCCTCTAAGGTTAATTTGCAGATACAAAATTAGAAATACAAAATAAGAAATTTTAAGATTAAAATCTTTATTGAGGAACAAGACTTTAAAGTCATGTCTCTATTTTTTGAAGTAGATTTGCCATCAGACTGTTCTATGTTTCATGAGATCATAAACCCATTCTAAGACAGCTGAAATGTGTATGCATTGTAAAACTTAAAGATCAGTACGCATCAAGTAATGGCAAAAGAAATTATTATACTGTGGTGAGTGTGCTATTGCTTTTGTCTTTTTTACAGGGAAAAAAGTAGCAAAGCAGGAAGACCTGAAAGAAATGGGTGATATTTCCTCAGGGATGAGTAGTTCCATCATGCAGCTATATCTCAAACAGGTTCTTGAGGCTTTCTTTCATACCCAGTCCAGTGTACGCCACTTTGCTCTAAATGTCATTGCACTGACGTTAAACCAGGGTCTCATCCATCCTGTTCAGGTATGGTAGACTTTTATGATGGGGGGTTTTGTTATTCAGTTTTTGAGCTTGCTAGATACATTTCTAGATTTATCTTTCAGCTATGTTACAGTAATTTCTTATTGTAGCAAGGGGCCTTTACAGAAAGCATATTTTGAAATGTGTTTTATGTTGTTTAGCCAGTGAGATTCCATATGCTGTATTTTCTTGTTGTTAGATCAAGATGTAAAAGCCCAGCCAGTGCCTAAAGAGCACTTACAAATGTACATTGGAGCCTATTTCTCTTATAAAATTTATGTGTATGCCAAACTGTTTTCTTTATTTGATTCTTTATCCTGAGAACTGTGTCAGCTTGCCTCCACCTTAATCCCCATGTCCTCCAAACACTATGGAATTCCAGTCAATGTCAGAACTTCAGTTATCATCTCCATTATTCTTTGCTTACATAATATTGTTGTAATTATTTGTTCATGCCACAGCCATTGTGCATGTTCAGTCATATGTGGTGTTTTCTTTTTTTTTTTTTAAATGGCATTTTTTTGTAGTGTAAATTGACTTTAGAGTTTGAGAGAAATGGAAATACTACCTGAAACCTCACACAACTTCTGTCGTTTATAATGCTGATCTCTTGTGTATTTTGTACTATTTTCTTGCAAAAAGTAGTCAGGTAGTAAGGTGCGTGTACTTTCCTATTCTAGTTTTTGCATTAGTCAGAATACAACAAGAACGACAGTGTAACAGAAGAACAAAAAGTGAGAAAGAGGAGGTGCAATGACTCTGAATAATCATTTCATTTATTTTTCAAGTGTGTGCCATACTTAATTGCTATGGGCACAGATCCAGAGCCCTCTATGCGAAACAAAGCTGACCAGCAGTTGGTGGAAATAGACAAAAAATATGCTGGGTTCATTCATGTAAGTAATTCCAGTTTATAATTTTACAAAATACTGTTATGTTCTGTGGTGACTTAGCACTTGAATAGGCCTCAGCTGGAGAAAAAGAATATAAAGTAACAAATAAACAATAACTATAAGCAGTTGTAAAGAAGTTCTCAACTTTGTCCCATTAGGAGATTTCTGTTCTTAGAAATATAAAGGACATAATAATTAGAAGCATCTCTTCCAGTCTAAAAATGTCTTTAATTTATAATTCACAGTAGTGTTTTCCTCACTGAATAGTACATAAGAGCATTTGTTTGATAAGAGGTAAGGACAGCTGTTTCATAATGTTTCACAATGATTTTCCCGTATCAGTAGACTAGGGAAGAGAACACCTTGTAAAAGTAGAGGTCCTTAGTGTATATGTATTAGAACATTAAGTCATCAAGGATTTATAAATTGTAATCTAAGCAGAAGGAGCATAGGAAGGTGTTAAGAACTGAGGGATCTTGCTGAAATGAAAATCTGAGGGCTAAATGAGGACTTGTAGAGTTGTGGTATAGTGACATTAGTTCTGCTTAAGATCTCCTTATATTTCAGAAGGCCCCAGTCTTGGTTCAGTGTGTGTACTACATTATGGAACTTCCCAAATCTCACTGTATTCCACTGAAATTGGAGCATTTCACTGTTCATGACATCCAAACAGATATCTAATCCAGCAGGTGAAGGCTAGCAGATGAAATTTGCTAAATAGGCAGCTGGGATGTAAGACAATGTATAGATGAAGAGACAACTACACTGAACAGAAGTAGAGGTGGTATGAGGAGAGTTGGATATGCAGCCTAGCTAGAGATTATTTGTTCTGAAACTAGAGCAGGAGCCTTGGAGTAAGTAAAATCAGCTGGAAATTACAGAATATATGTAAAACCCCCTCATTTTCTGTTTTTCAGTCCTATTGTACTAATATGGACTCAGTTGTTGGTTTCACTACAAGTAACATCAAACATACACATTTGGTAAAATATTCTGTTCATGTATGAAAACATTTCAGTATTGTTGAAAATTGTTTAAATTGGAATACCTGGATGCAGTGGGTAAACAGATTAGCTGTATGTTTCTAACATAGACTTTACAGTGAAATAAGTTCACAAGACATTTTGATCTGTTTGCCAACTCAGAAGGTAGGTAGTACTGCACCTCAATGCATGTTTGAAAGTTAAATTTCAGATGAGCATGCACTTAAAAGGAAATAAGCTAAAAAATGAGCTAGCAGCTTCTGTTGACAGGCATTTGTTTAATTTTCCACTTTCAGTTTTACTGCTTGAAAGCAATGGTTTAAATAAAACCAAATATTTTTCCACTTCAGATGAAAGCAGTGGCCGGTATGAAGATGTCATACCAGGTACAACAGGCAATTAATACCTGCCCAAAGGATCCTGTAAGAGGTTTTAGACACGATGAATCATCCAACGCATTGTGTTCACACCTATACTCCATGATCCGAGGGAACCGTCAACACAGACGAGCATTTTTAATTTCTTTACTCAACCTCTTTGATGATACTGCAGTAAGCATCACATTTCCTTCACTTAAAAAGAAAATAAAATATAGCATTACAAGCTTAAAATCTCCTTTTACAATGTATTTTTATGACAAATTATTGATAATTTTATTTCCCTAAGGTACTTTGTTTTGTTTTGTAATATAAGGTATTTACCTATATAATAGAATGCATTTGTTACTTTTGCATCCTTCTGTATCTTTCTGTACTCAGTTTGGATTGATCAGAAATAATGTAACTTCAGGTATGACTAAATTTTGCATATATATGTGTTGTTTAGAGTGGGTTTGGGGAGTATGTAGAATAAAATCTGTGATCATGCTATTGCTCTGGACTGTTAGGAACACAGGATAATGTATACATCTGTGATATTTATATGTATATTTATATGTACTGGGTTTTTTTATCTTCCAGAAAACAGAGGTGAATATGCTCTTGTACATAGCAGACAATCTAGCCTGTTTTCCTTATCAAACACAGGAAGAGCCACTGTTTATAATGCATCATATAGACATTACACTATCAGTTTCTGGTAGCAACCTACTACAGTCATTTAAAGAGGTATGTGCATTTCTATTTTAGTATATTTATTATGGTGGCAACATAAGCTTTTCTATAATTTAGTCAATTTTTCAGTGAATATAGTACTATTATTATGATATGGACCAGTAGTGTTACTTTGTAACTGGTAGTTAAGAAACAAACTACTCTTTCTGTTCTCACCTGCATCTGTAGTTAAAAACTTACATTGTTGCTTATATTATTAAAAAAGAATGAAAAATTTTGAGATCTTAATATTAAATCTATATAATTCCCTAATAGTGTTGAATTAACTGGATTTAATATTAATTGCACACATCTGGGAAGTACATGAACCCAGAATAAATCAGGTAATATTGGATTTTTGTGGCTGTTTGTATAATTTCAATAATAAAATCCAGTTTGCTGTTTCTTTTGTTCAAAAGTAGCTGATGGCAGTTGCATATTTGTCACCTGGGAGACTTGAAATACATTGTTCATTACAAGAAAAGAGTGCGCAATATGTCTTTTCTTAAGGTAGCATATAAGAACCCCAATCATGGTATAGTATCTGCTGTTATGGCAGTACACGATCCTGTAAGAAAAAGGCCTCTCTTTCTTAAAGACTTCAGTGTCTTCATTTTCTGGACAAGGTTAACAGTAGAAGGTCCAAACTGTCAGGAAACTAACCCATTTCTAGAATTTAAAATCTGATTTGTAAGTACAAGTCAGAGTTGGTATGTGGAAATGTCGTGGTTTAACTCCGGAACACAGCTTTCTAGCAGCCA